ATTTGTAAATGGTTCAGTCCTATTCTGGACTTTAGTGTAAATTATTGGTCCTATTTTGGACTTACTTAAAATTCTGCATTTAGTGTATTTGTAAATGGTTCAGTCCTATTCTGGACTTAGTTAAAATTCTGGACTTTAGTGTAAATTATTGGTCCTATTCTGGACTTAGTGTAAATGGTTCAGTCCTATTCTGGACTTAGTTAAAATTCTGGACTTAGTGTAATTATAAATGGTTCAGTCCTATTCTGGACTTTAGTGTAAATTATTGGTCCTATTTTGGACTTACTTAAAATTCTGCATTTAGTGTATTTGTAAATGGTTCAGTCCTATTCTGGACTTGTTAAAAATCACACAACACAATGTTGAACAAAACTCATTTGTAGTGTACTGTATTTCAAACGACACATACTGTACAATCCAATAAATCTTAACAAAACTTTTTTGGAAAATTTCGTCAGCGTTTCGCGCAATAAGACAGTTGGGATTATCCAAGCGGAAGCGATCGCCTATGATGGGCGATCGCCACGCGTGGAACCTACGCGCCACCCACCACCCTTGGCCCCGCTGAAAGATATATATGCCTCTCAGAAGTTGTTCTTGACTTGGTGTTAGTTCTGTAGTTTTCATGAGTTTTGCAGTTTCAAGTTGATTGCAATGAATATTCATCATTTCTCTGCCTGGTAATGAGGACTGCTGGTCTGGTTCAGTATGCAAATGAATTAACTGTAGCAAGCTATCTGTAATTAAAAAGATTTTGAAAATGGATATAAAATTTAAGCAATAAAAATTAGGACTTCTATTAATTTTTTATTATCATTACTTTTCAATTTAGTTGCTTAATAAAATATCTTTATTCATTTATAAAAAATTCTACATATAATAACTTTATATAAATTCAACACCAACATCAGTTGTATAAAACCTAACTATAATACAACCCAAGGCTACACTAGTCATTGTGCAGACCTTTCATGGAGTGTTTACCATCTATACTTTCCTGTAGGTGTTTACACATTAAAATATTGCAAACTCAGTGTTTGATGACACTAAAGTGTGTATCACTTGTGTGTAAGTTTTAGTGTATTATCACTTATGGTGATATTGCACAAATGGAGAAGGGTAGGATTAAATTTTAAATTATTGATACTGGTTACTGATGGGAGGATGCTCCTATCAAAAATCACTACATAAAAAATATGGCTATAAGGTAAGTATTTTCCACTCACCAAAATCTGGCATCCACTGTTTGAAGTTTTTAAAGCATGTTTCATTAAATTCAACAGCACTGCTGTTCAACACGTCACTGCAATATTTCATTCTGCCTGCTTACCAACATGCCACTCTATAAAATAAAACAAACAGAACTATATATTGAAGTGTCTAATTTCCTACAAAAATGTAACAATAATGACAATAATTATTACTTATTTTCAGAAGAAAGTTCAGCAGTTCCAAGTTTTGTTCCTATTACACCTTCCTTTATTCTTTCATATTTTGCTTCTTTACTTAACCTTAATCACTTACACATTCATTATAAGCTTATTTTTAAATTAGGCTTACACTTTACAGTATACATTGTGCACTTTCCTACCTTTATCAATTGTAAGTTGGAGGTATTCTTCATAAAAATTTTCGACAAAAGGATATCAAATTGTCTTTACCCAGTACCGCTCGATCATATTATTTAGTGGCATTTTATCCATATTGAAAAAATCAAATATCTTTCCACTTACCAGCATCAGGTATTCTTGTGCTGTTAACCATTTTATCAATTGTATATACTCATCGTGAAAATAAACACCGCTGCTTCTTAAGACTCTGTAAAATAAACAGGATTGAATAAAATATATTGAAAGGAAGACAATGTCATATTTACTGTACTGGTACGATGAGCATTTACGTTGTCCTTACGGTTATAAAGTGTATGCCAAATCTCCTAGCTCAGGGAAAAACTCAAGGCAAAATGTAATAGCTGTACAGGCCCATTAAACAGAAATCACAAGCGGCACAATTGTATTGTCAAAACAAAACAAAAGCAAAACACAACTGACTTGTTTATTAAAGTTTTTTTAAGAAACAATGAGAGGGCAGTTAGCAAATTTTTAAAATACAATGTTAGGAGGTGGCCACAATTAAGCTGACTCGTATTCTGTACATTGGTTTGTATGGCAAGATTTGAAGAAAAAAATGGTGATTTCATATTACATTTGTTATTGATAATTTCAATTATTTGAGTAAAATTTACAATTAGGGGCATATTATTATTATGGAGGATGATTTTTTTACATCTTATTAACTTTTTTTCAAATTTCAGTTAACAAATTTTAAAAATTATAATACTAAAATTTACAATGATACAATATATTTTAATGGCTCTTATGAAACAACCTGGGCTTAAGGGGAACTTAATCAATTGAATCTTTCAATAACTAGTAAACGTACGCTACCGATGATAAAAAATAATTAACGTGTGACATTTATTAAAACATGATTGCTGCCCTCTATAATTACCGATTACTGTATCTAAAACTTTCATCCTGTATGTGTTCCTCAAAGCAATAAAAAATATAATAAGATAAGAAAAAATATAGCAAAACGAGCTTTCACCCTGGCCAGGAATCGGCGCCCTAGTCATTCCTCCCCGACTATTCCTATCCATTCCATGCAAGGTTATGCACCAAGCAAGACCATTAACTATAGGGTTCACTAACTCGGTCCCAATTTCAAACAACTGAACGGAGGGAGGAAACACAGCCATAAACAAAGCCATAAATGCGGAGAATCTAGCACTACCAAGTACCTGTCAGTCGAATCTTGAGACTACCTAACTCCGAAACTTGCCGGAAGCTCCCCCCCGCAAATACTCGCTAGTAGTACACACAAACGACGTACACCTCGAAAATATGGCCAAGCGTTCAGAATGTAAACTAGATCGGAATCCGTTCGAGAAAAGAGGCAGGTAACCTAATTAAAAAAACATATTCATATAAATAGAGCTGTGGGTCAACATTACGCATGGTCATGGTGTCAAATTAATTCAAGCTCATTTTTTAAAGTAGGAAAACCTTAAGTATTGAAAATAATTGTTAATAAATATATATTTAGAGTTTTTATTAAATTTTCAAAATAATTGTCCGTTTTATTTGAAAAAATCAATAAAAGATAAAAAAAAATAAAAGATTATAAAAATATTCAAATTAGATATATGCAAATATATTTTATTAATTATTCACAATAGTAGAGGGCGGTTTTACATTCTATCTAAAGAGAGAAAAAAAAGGATAAATAAAAAGTATAAAAAATATATTTTAAAAAAATTTAAAAATATATTAATAAAAATAAAATAAAAGGTATAAAAGGTGGTGATATTCCAGCAAAACGTTTTCTCAAACCACATACACGCTTAGGTACAGTCGTAGACTAGGCCTAATAATAGGGCCTACCTGTAGGCCTAAACGTAAACGTTTTTGTTTTGGTGTAGTACCTAGGCCTACCTGAAATTTAAGATGTTTCCTTCGTACAAATAAGTACAGTTATAGCCATACCTCCCTGGACTTTGACTATGCTTAGCAATTAGTGTAGGACTACCACAGTCCTTGCCAGCAGGTTGGTCTTGGTCACCACGGGCCTAGGCACTTTACGCCGACGACGGCAATTCGGCCCGGGGTTATCGAGCCCAAGTGTTTACTGTGGGCCACCGCCGTAAAGTGGATTAATGATTGAATTCCGCCGTGGGCTCGATACACTTTTTTTTTTTAATAAAAATTTTGGACAGGCTCAGTGTTCTTATTTTTGACCAATCCAGGCTCAAAATGTACTTAGCCTAGTAGGCCTAGGTATATTTGGTCTTATTTTTACAAACTTTTCAAACATGGAAACTTTACAAATTTGTATAAATTAACTGTGTTATAGCGGGTATTACATAGTCACACCCGCTGCAAATATGGAACAGCAGTTTTTCATTTTTTTAAATATAAAAACCTCATCATTTGACATTTTTACCTCAGCCTCAATTTGTTCTTACTTTTTCTGAATTTTTAAGCAATTTCAGCCTCCCCTACCACCGTGGCATGCTCTGTAACTTGGTTGTCTTTCATTATCAATCTTTGGCAGCACTTTTTATATTCCATGAGGATGAACTAAATGAGGAGGCAAAACAAAACACAGCCAAATAAAAAAATATTACTGTAAATGCTCATATTTAGACCGCAAATCTTCATAAGCGTTGCACCAAATCGATTTTTTTTTGCTAAGCGCCATTCTGAAATAAGGGCTGTGTGCTTAATCGAGAGTATATACTACACTGTGTGTAATGAAACAGGGTTTTAAATAAAATGTATAAAGTGTTAAAATGAATACAATGAAGACACAAACATTTCTTTATATTATAAATATTTATTTACAGTGATGCAGGACCTAAAATAGAACTACTGGACTATAGGAATGCCCAAGATACCTGTACACAAATTTTATAAGTGCTGTAGTGCTTATTCAAGCATTTACAGTATTTTGTCTAGCACCCAGTAACTGGATATACTGCTTGAATATTAAGTAAACAACAATAATATTAATAATTAATTTGAAGGCCTAGCAATCATGTATTGCTTGCACTAAGAAAAGTTCAGATACATTTTTCTCACAAATTGACAATAATATTTTTTTATTCAAATAGGATAACAATCTGGATGAAATCTAGGACAGGAGGAACAATAGAACAGATGAAGTTTAATAACAAGTCGTCAAAAGTGTCAGAATAATCTGGATGAATTTTGAAGGACATTTGCCCAACAAAAGTGTAATAATTCAGACATTTACAAGACCCACTTGGATTTTCAGTTTTGCTGGAGACAAGATTACAGTTAAGGATGAAGACCACTTGAAAGAAGCTTTAACATGCAGAGGCAATGATCAAGTGGAAGTCCATTACAATAGACACAAAAAAGATGCATGCAAGTCATAGGACAGAACCAAAGATACATTGATCATTACAAAATCATTACAAGATGAAGTATTAAACATCACAAATCTCATTTTTTATTACAACATTTTATAAATTTTGCCCAGGCTTAGTGTTCTTATTTTCTTGTCAATTTCAGGCTCAAAATATTCTTATTTTGTCCTTAGTTTTTATGCAATTTCAGCCTCAGTGATGAGGAATGTTGTACAAGAACAAGAACAGTTAGCAGTGAGGCTTTGGGTGGGAATAGAGAGGGCGGCAGACTGCAATTTACCGATATCAAGGCTTCTAAATGAATTCGATGCAACTCGGCCACAAATCAACTCAGCCACAAAAAGTTCGGCTGCAGTCAACTCGGCCACAAGTTATCTTGGCCACAAGTCAATTATTATTATTGTATTATTGTTGTTTTTATTACCGTTAGTTTTAATATTAATTAATAGTCTTAGCATTAACATTATGTATTGTTAAAATTTTTGCTGATATTATTATTGTTACCATATAAATAATTCCGATATAAATTTTCCGATATAAAGATCAAAGGACTGTACACACGCGCTATGTTCGAGAGCGGAGATGTGCGTCCTTCTGTTGAATTACCTTGCTTCCATTAATACTGAACCTAAATACATATGTCGCATGATAAGCAGGATCCAGTCAAGCAATTTTTAAAAAATGTTTTAGCTATAAGGGTCCAAATTTTTATAATTCTATTTCAAATTCTATTCGTTTATGTACTACCTTTGCTTTTTTAAACTTAAATTTAAACAGTATAATCTGTAAGTTTCTTGTTTATCTTTTTTTAACGTTTTTAATTAATGTATTCTCAAATTTTTACAAATTATTTTTTATATCTGAATTTTATAAATTTGTGTAATTAAGTGACTCCTGTCTTTATTCTTGTGAGGGCCCCTAATGATCAGCATTGCTGGATGGGTCACCCTCTTGAAATATGGTATTAAATAAAAAAAAAAAATAATAATAATATCCCTTGACAATAGATGCAGTATAAAATAAATCTATATATTATTCTATATTATCATGTCTATAATGAATCTGGTTTATGTAACCTTTGCATTATAAATGATGAGGTAGGCACATTTTATTTATGTCTCTTTTAAACTTAAGATTTGAATAGCTTAATGACACCGCATTTTTACTACTGTATTATCAATTATTTTGTATACCGTATATGCTCGCATATAAGGCGATCTGCAAACAAAGTTTAAGAAGATTTTTGGACGATTTTCGCTGCATTTTATGGTTTGATAATGCATCTAGCTGGCTAAAAACTGCAAATGCAGCACTAATCTTCCAAATAATACCATTTTATGAGATTTTATATTTTATTTCCCTCTATTTAAAATACCTTTATTGCAAGTAGTAACTTTGTGTGTTAGGATCTGCACATAATACGAACATTTAACAAATCTAAGATTGTAATGTCATGCGTACAAGACGACCCCTTTTTTTCGATGTAATTTGCTAATTTATTAGCCTTATATTATAATATGCGAGTATATTTAAAGTACAATAGTCCGATAGCGAAATTATGAACAGTGGAGGTGCTCGGGTTGCTTTCAGAGGTTAATTTAAAGGTGCGCTTTTTTAAATATAACAAATAAAACATAAATTTCAAGCATTAAATACCAATTACAGGCATCTAGAGATCAATCTGTAATCACTGGAGCTGATAATTTCCAACAGATTTCATAGCACATTATTACAAATCAACGGTTAGAAGAGCAGGCAAAAAAAATGTAATGCATACTAGGCCTATGGTATTTCGCGATAATTTGGAAAGATCTTAATGAAATAATAGGTTTTAAAAAGTGGACTTTTTGAAATTCGGTGGTCCAGG